AGAGAGAGAGAGAGAGAGAGAGAGAGAGAGAGAGAGAGAGAGAGAGGGAGACGCTAGGGGTCAAACTCAGGGCCTTCCATGGGTAAGGCCAACACTTTACCACTGAGACATATCCCTAGGACCAAAAAACTGAAAGCTATTAAACTTTTAGAGCATCAACATAATGAGATCTATCACAATTTTTCTTTGTCTGCGTTGTAACAAAATTTCCTGGCACAGAACCACAGCTCCAGTAGAGGACATAAGGAAACAAGTAAGACTTTCAAGGCAGAACAGACCTTGGCAATTACCCAAGGAATGACTCCTAGAATTTGATGGAATTGTGGGATTTTTTTTCTTGTTAAAAATCAATATTAATTTTTATCAAGGCAATGCATATAGATAACTTAAAGTTTCATAACTTATAACAAAGAACTGCAATCACCTGTTCCACCACTCTTTTCTCTCCATGCATGTGTCCTATTGTCTGGGATAGCTACTTTTAACCTTTTAAAAATTTCTTCTGGTATTTATGCTTATACTGCTAATTTAGATATCTTGCTTTCCTGTTGTGATAGTTGAATCCTGGGCTCCCTTTTTATTCTCCCATGGTTGCTATCTACACAAACTTTCCTTATATAGTGATAGCACAATTATGGGTCCAATCAGTATTCCCGGTACATATTAACATGTCTAGGTCAGTGGATTTTGCATTTTAGATTTCCTTTCCATGTGGCTTTTTATTTTTATTACCATTAACGAGTCCTCATTTCTTTATCTGTGTAAATTTGCTTATATCACAAATTCTTTTTTCCAAACCTAGTTTATCCAAATTTAACTTAATTTCCATAGTACCTAACTATCTACAGGTATTTTTATTCCTTTTATTATTTTTCCTCTTCTTGTCTGTTCTTTTTTTAAACCTCCCTTCTGAACCTTTCATCACATTCTAGTCATGGTGGTTGCCCTTCTGTCATCATGGGCTTCTCATGGCCTCTCTCCTATGTTGACTGTCAGATTGTACTACATCTCTTCCTCTTTTTAGGTTCACAACCTCATTTGGGTGGAATACATCCTTCAGTAACTTCCTGAGAGAAGGTAGAGTAGAGGAAAAATGTTGTGGCCTTTGTATCTTTTAAAATTTTGAACTTTGATACTATTCTTATTCCCAAGCATTTTTGTCAGATGTTGCTTCCATCCTACCCTCTGTTTCCAGGAAGGATTTAGTACACTTTCTTAGTCCCTTATGTACTACAAATTTATGTACAAAATTTATTCATTGCGGTGTGTGTTTATTTCTATTCACTGTGTGGGCACTTGGCCCTTCCCCTCCCATTCAAAAATTCAGAACTTTCAGTTCTGGAAAATTTTCTCATATGATTTCTTTGATGATTTCCTTCCTAAAATATTCTCTGATTTATCTTTCTGGGAGACTTTTTAAATTTTTATTTTAAAGTGAGTAGTAAATGAGAAACAAACAAAAAAATAGAACAGTAGCAGCATACCAGTATCACAAATATAAACAAATCAAAGCAAGAACATTCAAAGTGATACAGGGTCTCAAGACAAAATAATACAAATCAACATCTTTCTGGGAGACTTACTCATCAGATGTTTCTCCTGTAGTAAATTTTTAAAAAAATTTTGTTTTATTTGTTGTCCTACTCTTTGACATTTGATTCTAATTTGTGGGGTATTTCTTCAACTTTATCTTCCAATTTTTTGTTAAAATTTTTAAATTTTTGTTGTTAAACTTCTAAAAGCTTGTTTTTATCTTTTGATGAATTCTTTAAACAAAAATATACTCTTTTGGTCTTGCACATGCCTGTTTTATCATCTCCAGGGATAGTAATTGACATTTTCTTTTTTGTTTCTTTAGTTTTTAAGTATGTGTTTTGCTTTGTTTTGATTTCTGTCTTCAAGGCTGAAGGCTTTTTCACATACTATCTATTTAATCTTCACCTACTTCTATTAGGTTGATATTATTATTGTTGTTATTATTTTATAGTTAATGGATCCTAAACAGTGTATCATTGTTTTACTTTTTTTACCATCGACGTCTAAACAGTTGAGCATAAATTAGCCAATTCATAGTCCAGCTTCTTGATCTAGTTGGATTCTCTACTGAATTCTGAAAATCTCTTCTAAGTTCTATCCCCTCTTCTCTCACTATATTAGACATCTCCATCTTTGTTCAAGTAGATGAAACCTCTTTTTTTCAAGTTGAAATAAAATGTTTTCTCTTTCCCTTCGTCTCCCTTCTGTCATTAGTACTAGTCTTCCCTTTGGACTATAGAGATATTTCCCATATGTAAGTCTCCTTCCATAGGAGCTAGTACCCTGGATATTTGAAATGATGTTGTCATAACTCCATATCTGCCATTATCCAGCCCAAAGAGGTACTTAGAGCTTACTTTTGCCAAAATGTGCTTGGCTGACATTTTTGGAAAATTTTGGACCGTCTCCTCCTGTCACATTCTTGTTTTAAGTGTGTATCCATAATTTAATACAGAATATAAATATATTTTAAAAGATAGTGTTGGATGAGATAGTGTCATTTTATTAATGCATTTTGTATCTGGTTTAGTTTCAACCTGGAAAGTTTCATGTGCTAAAACTTCTTTCATAGTTTTGATAGGTTTTTCACAAATTATAATTTCTATGCTTACTTTTACTTACTTTTTAAAATTAGGGTTATGTGCATGTTATCTTTGTTAATTATTGCTTTTACTTCTTAAGGTCTCTTTTTTTAAGGCCAGTTGCATTTGACCTTAGATATTAACCCCAAATGAAGGTGCCAAGGTCCCCAAGTTGAAGAAAAAATAGAAAAATCTTGTTAAAGTAAAGTACATAAGTAAAAAATACCACGTAATATTTGAGAAGGAACATAAAACATAAATAGAGGCCTTCTAGGCGCCATGTGAACACTTCATACCTATTATTTCATTCAACCTTTATCATGCTAATTTTTTTTTTTTTTTGGTACTGAGAATTGAACTCAGACCTTGCCAGGCAGGCACTGTGCCACTGAGCTATATCCCTGGCCCAAAATTATAATTATTAGTATTTCCATTCTGGAGGTGAGGAGCTGAGGCTAGTGTCATATACCTAGGATAGCTAAAGGTATGATGCAGACCTAAAAATGCCAAACTCAAGGTATTACTGCTGTACCCCAGGGAAATGAAGATCTCATCTTACATTTTATGCTGGTTATAGTTGATTTTGTTGGGTGGAATTACTTTATATAGTATTGCAGTTATTTTATTTATATAGTATTGCCCTACTGAAGAGTATTGCATATTTCTTTCTTTAACAGAATGTACCAAATTAAACTTTTATTTGATAAGACAATGAACATTAGCAAGGTGTAGTGGCATATAACTGTAATCTTAGCTACTTGGGAAGCTGAAGCTAGAGGATCACAAGTGCAAGGCCAGCCTGAGCAATTTAGTGAGACTCTGTTCTAAATAAAATAAAAAGGGCTGGAGATGTGGCTAAGTAGTACAGTGCCTACCTAGGTTCAGTCTGGGTTGAGTCCCTATTAGTAAAAAATGGAAGCGATAACACTGACATTTTGAGCATTAATTTTTGTGGCTCTTTAACTATTAATAAATATGTGGCCCTAGAAATATGAGTAGACTAGATCTTATTTATATTTTTATATCTAGTACCAAGTACATTTGAGGAAATCAAATATTCAAAGGGGGTGTATGTCTTGGTTACTTTTCTTTCCTTGCTGAGACAAAATACCCAACACCCAAATTAAAGAGGGAAAGGTTTATAGCTCACAGTTTGTGGAGGTTTCAGTCTATAATCAGCTGGCTCCAAGGCAGGGTGACACGGCACAGGGGCAACAGTTCAGGGCAGCAGAAGACAGTAAAGCAACAAAAGCAAAAGGAGGAAGAGCAAGCCTGTTTTCCTCCCTTGTATTCTACACAGGTTACCACTCCCTATGGTGGGTGTAGCATTCACACAATTTCCCTGTCCTTCTCTTGCACAAGATGAGGATGTTTAAAAAGTGAGGTCTCTGGCTCCCTGCTGAGTCACTTAGTTAAATTTCTAAACTTCTCAAGTTGTTACAATGTATCAACCATTACAGGGTGCAAGAATGCACATGTGAATAAGTACACAAATGAAATTATAATACAGCCTCAAGGTCTGTTAAAATCATTAGAGCTATTTGTCCTACACTAAATCCAAACGTTGTTTTGCTTTATGAGTTAGTTATGCCTACTCTTGGTAATTCTTTTCCTTTTTCATTGTCAGTGTTCTAAAAGGAACATCTTTAGACATGAAATCGCTTGCCTGAAGCTCTTTGCAAACGAGAGAAAGAACAGTTTCCCTGGGAAATTCAGATCATTGTGTCCAAGTGTGAGAAACAAGCCCATATTTGATCTAGTCCATGTGTATATTCAAAAGCTTTGCTTGGAAGTATAGGATCCAGCTCCAGGGGTATTTGGGGAGTACATTTTTGGTCTGTGTTCAAGTCATTGGACAGGGAAGTCTTATTCAGTGAGCACCAAAGAGATACCAGAAATTGATTTCAAACCTTGTATAAAAAGACTGATCAAAACCAGTGGAAGGAGCCAACCCCTATCAGTTTGGTCAATATTCAAGGTCAGGCTCTAGTTCTAGGGTGGAAATGGAATAAGAACCAGGACCTAGGTAACCAGATAGAATGTTAGTTAAACAGACTGTTACACACTTTGGAATGTATTTAGCCAAAAAAGTTTGCCCAGATTTTTTCAAAGGGAGATTGAATTCCAGGATACGTGACCCCATGGAAGCAAGAGTGGGTTTTTAGATGTTTTCCTACTAGAGTTAAGAAGTACACAATACATCCAGCCATTGAATAGGACTGATCCTGAGGAGACAAACTTATGTCCTCACTAGAGTAGGGCAAAGATGATAGGGGCAAACTGGACAAATCACTGATAGAAGTTTTGTAAGTAAGATTCCTTTTCTGTGGATTTTTAAATCTCATTCTCAATGTACTACTCTGAACTGAAGGTAGTACTGCAGGTACAGTGAATGATCAACAGTGTAAGGATCAACGTTGTTCCATGTCCTCTGCTAAGTGATTGATTTTCATCATCTTGTTATTCCTACAGCTATTTTTGCTTCATATAGATTATTTCCATTACCCAACCATTCCTTCATAATTCAATGCATATTTATTTTGGGTGATTTATTGAGTAAAGAATTGAACCCGACTTTATGGGAAACTTGTTTTCTTTTGTTTCTCTTTTAAAGTAAGATATCAACAAATTTGATGGGTATGCCCCAAATAAGTAAAGATCCAGAGACTATGTCGTATAAGAGATGTGTCAATAGAAGTAGTGAAAACAAATGTGACTGCTGCTAATATGGTAGTTCTAAGAAAATATTGGAAACTTTCTTCTGAGGGTCAAAAAGGACAGTAATCAGTCAGTTTAGTCAAAATATGTAAAAAGACTATCACATGAACCTGGCCAAAACAACCCAATCCAGGAGTTAGGAAGCCATGTGGGGGAAGAGTTAGGAAGCCATGTGGGGGAAGCTGTGTGTTGTGGGAAAGGTGGTCACAAAAGGGGAGGATGTGAGGGCAGAAGAAATTTTCCCTCTTGTCTTAGCGCTCTCAGCCATTGTGCATTAGCTCATCTCAGTTCTTCCCGTTTGATTGTCCCTCCCCTAACCATTTTTCCAATCTTTTCCCTATTTCTTAATTGTTTCTCTAGAAGCTCTAAGGCTGCTTTTCAACTTCTGGCCCTCTGAATTACAACTCACTGCCATCGGGATTCTTGGGCCATAGCAGTGATAGAGGAGTGAAGACATAGAAAGAAAATGTCTAGAATAAAAGGAGTGGAGCCTGAAGTAGAAGCTTTGGTAGAATTTAATGCTCAGCCACACGTAGGCTGAGCAAGCTCTCTTATTCCTTAACCTTAGTTTTCCCACATCTGTAAAACTGGGATGTATAGGAATGTGCACTTGTGTGTGTGTGTGTGTGTGTCTGTGTGTGTCTGTGTCTGCCTGTCTGTCTGTCTGTATCCTCTGTGTCCTTAGGGGGTTTCTTTGAGAATCAAAAAAAACAATGGACATAAATGTACTTTGTAAACTGTTGTTGAGACTCTTAAACTGTAGTTGTAGGAATGTTATTGTTTTTATGATCATACTTTCATTTAATCTACCTAATTTAACTTGCATGTTCTCTAATTCACAATATTGATACAGTGCTAGACCCGTAAATGGAAATATCATCCATGACAAGTCATAAATGCTAGAGTTACATGAGACTAGAGAGTTAATCTTATTTGGGAATTGGTTTTAGATACTGCCAATTTCTTTTTCTTTTTCTTTTTTTTCTTTTTCTTCTCTTTTTTGGGGGGAGATTTGAGACCAGGCTCTCACTATGCAGTTCATGCTGGCCTTGAACTCACTTTGTAACCAAGGCTGGCCTCGAACTCACAGTGGCCCTCCTGCCTCAGCCTCCCAAGTGCTCAGATTGTAGGCATGTGCCGCCATGCCTGGTTTAAGTACTGCAAGTTTCAAGTGAAGGTCCCTGGGACATCCTTGTCCATCAAGGGGACATTCTAAAGGATTTGAGGCTAAATCTTGATTAGACTTCAAAGCAGACATACTCTTCTTTGCTACTGCCTTCTAAAACAGCTAACAAACTTTTCTTGTTTGGGTATATGTGAACATGTGTGTATCAGCTTCTTCTAGTCCGCTTTTACTATGCTCACCTTTGCTTATTCCAAATTAAAGACAGAATAATCTATATACAGATTTTTTTTGTTGTTTTGTTTTTTTTTTCCTGTACCGGGAATCAAACTCACAACCTTGCCCTTGCCAGGCAGGCGCTGTGCCGCTGAGCTAAATCCCCAGCCCCTATACAGATTTTACATTATCTTCTCTTTTAGAATTTTGACAATATTCCTAGAAATATTAGCTAACTAGCCTTAGAATGTCTTTTTCATAGTTATGCAGAAAACACAATATCCATGTATATTCTTTCTAGCATTTTGATGATAGGAAAAATATTCAAATTTATTTTTAGACAAGTCACATGCCAGAAAGAATAACAAATATTTGTAGTTGCCTTAGGGACTAAGCTTCTAGATATTACTGATTATGGAAATAAGGAACAGATTCAGAGATGGACAATTCTGTGAGCAAATAATGGAATAGGAGGACAGCTGGAAAACAGGGTGGAAGAAGCAGATGATCTTTACAAAATATAGTTTCCTAATCAATTTCATTTATTTTTGTCTGAGGCTGATTTTTATATCTAAAAAAATATCTCCACTCTGAGGGAAGAATGCAGTTGAATGCTTTTATAACAAATCCTTTTTTATTTATCTTTTTTTTTTAATTGTAGGAAAAATCCAGGTAGCAATTTGACTGTTTGCCCAGTTGTCTGTAATACAGGGTAAATATTGAAGATCCAAAGACCCTGAAGCCAGGAAGTCCAGCTTCTTGTACTCCTGGATCTCTTTTGGAATAGCCTGTCATGTATGGCATTAAATGATGCAGCACCCCTTCTCCTCACTAATAAAAGTTCCTTAGAATATACAGTCACTAAAATTGTGCTATGTGGCTTTCTGCCAGCATTTCCAGCAGCTCTGGCAGCCATCTTCAGTGACCTCTATCTTGTGTAGAGAATGGTCTAACTGCGGCATGTGAAGTCCTGGAGAAAAATTCTGGCTTTGTTTCCCAGTTCTTTGGCAGACTGAGGCAGTGGCATTCTGGAGGCCGCCAGCAATACGCTTTTTTAGTTGCATACTGTCTTTGCATACTGTTGCCTCAGATATTTTTGAGATACACCCAGAGCATCCAGGCCATGTTGGAAAGCACCCATAGGTCTCAGTACTCTTTTCTCTGGAGCTGGGAAACAATGAAGAAGGAGAGGAGAGACTTAACTGTTGGAGGAGGAAATAAACCTGGAGGCTGGGGTAGTAGCAGTAAATGAGCATTAGGTCTGCAAAGCTATGCTCTCCAACATTCACAGCATTCTACTCCAACATGCCAAAACAGTGGTAGCTGGGGTGGGAGGCACAGGGAGTGTGAGGGAACACTGCAGGGATGAAGGCCTAAAGGACCATGCATCATGTCCTTTAGGCACTAGTGACAAAGACAGCTTGGTTACCTGTCATGATGGGAGTTGAAAGAGCCACATGAAGCTTGAAAAAACAGGTACTGTTTTTCCCCCAAAATAAGGGCTAAGTGCAATGACTTAACTGGAACCAGCCCTAGCTTGTCATTACCATGGCAATGGCCAGTGTCATGCAGATTATACTTCACTCTTCTCTTGCTTGGTGGCCACTCTATAGTGGCAGGTAAGGCAAGGATAGGCTGGTTGAGCCTGACATATTTTTTTTCCTGGCTAGGTCTTATTATGGGGAAAACACAATAATGGGCCCTAAAGCTGCATATCAGACTCATGAAGTGGGAACCACTTTGAGGAGGGAGTAATAATACACAAATGGCCAGACATCTGGCTAATACAGAATTCATCCACTTTTCAGTCTTTTATTCTCAAAATTTGGCTCTACTCTGCCTCCGTTCTGTCTGCATCTCCTCTTGTAGTGGCTGTTCTTCAGTTGTTACAATACAACTGACATTCAAGGAGATCCTTTCTCCAAGCCAACTCTATTGATCTCAAAAAAAAAAAAAAAAAAACAGAGGTAGAGCAATGTTCAGGTATTCAGACCAACCTACCTTCCAAACTGTTCTGCTTCTTACTGGATATATAACCTCAGGCAGATAACTTTTCTGAGTATCCGTTTTTTTACCTGTCAAATGGGGTTGATATTTAGTTTAAAGCTTTAAATGAAGTAATGCAAACCCGGT